TGTACGAAGTTCTGGGTCATTTACTACAGAGTCATATTTCCTCATTTGTTCAAAGACCTTCTCGAATTATATAATTCTGTGTAAGTTTTACTTTTTAGGTATTAGCTAGCCCATTTTAAATGCTTTTCTCTGGTGAGCTCAAATCATTCAAGACAGCTAAACATTCTTGTTTTAAAAACAAAACTTCATTCAACTCTAAAAACTCTGAACCCACAAGTACGTATTGTTATGCCTGGTGCCCTGTCCCTCGAGCCTGCAACACTCACCTGTTTGATGGCAGTTTCTAAGCAGCACGTCCACCTATAACCTCTTCTTCTCTTTTTAGGTCTCATAAGGACTAAGAATTATAACCTCTTCCTCCAAGCTTCCCTAATTCACCTCTACTTAAAAATTTCTGCCCTGATGTTAGGACTTGTCCAAATCAAGTATTTCTTTACCCCCCTCGAAATTACACGTGACACCTCACCCACAGACCCAAGGCCCCCTCACTCCTCTCACTTTGGGGTACACACTGTAGAGGGTATGTCTCTGCCTACCGCAAGCTCCCCAGGGCAGCAACCTATTAAATCTACATTTTAGATCCGTAACTCTGCATAATGACGGTGAGGACCTCCGTGTTGTTCCGTTTAAAGAATTTACACAGCGGGCCTGCTCCCTTGTTGCTGGTAGCCCACTTAACTTTAGGAAAAACTCTCTTGGATAAAATCAAACAGCAGTGCTTTATAGCTCTGTTCCAACGCTGAATGTGGGAACTGAAAATAAAACATATGTTTCCATTACAAAGGAATAAAGGCCATTTCTACTGAAAACAGTTTACAGATCCTAAGAACAATCATCAAGACGACAGAAGCCATAAAACCAAAGAAAAGGGTGACACTCGATAGTCAATCTTGCCCCAAATGTGCTGGATGACTCTGCTCACTGTCAAAGCAAGAACACAGAACCTATTACTGCAAGTGAATCTTCTGAAGTGTATGCAATTGAATCCAATTCCACACATATATATGTATGTACTTGCTTGGCTGTATAGCTGGCTTGGAGTGTGAGACTCGCTACATTACGGCTATGTCTACACGGTCAGACGCACTGTATAATTTGCTTCAAGAAGCTGAAGAAAGTGCTGGAGACTCAGCAGAGAGCGAGAGGCGTCAGATGTGACAAGGTGATTGTGAACCAAGATCAGAGATGGGAAACCACGTGCTCTTTTCACACAGTACAAATAGTATGCTACATCTGCATTTTAAAAACACACACAAGAATTTAGAAAGAGGAATTGCATATTTACATAGTTAAGTTACCTATTAATGACAAAGGGTAAAATAGTAACCTAGCAGTGGGAAAGTCCAGTGGGCACCACCATCCCCCAAGATCAAAGTCGTCACCAGCAGAGCCGGGACAATGTGCCACGACGTCTGCCACACCCTCGGCGTGGCTTCCACGGTCTTCCCACCCTGAGTCTAATCACGAGGAACCGGACAAAAGCAAATCCAGGGACCATTTACACAATAACCGGTCTGTCCTTCAAAAACTTCAAGGTCAAGAAGAAGAAAGGCTGACGCACTATTCCAGATTAAAAAAGACTCAAAAGAGATGACAATTAGAGGCAATAGGACTGTGGATTGTATCAGGGTTGAGCAGACTGGTGTCTGGAGAGACCAAGGACGTTGCTGTGGCTCACCCAGCCGCCGAGTGCCAGAGTTCTTTCCAAGAGGCCAGACCTGAGGGGTTAGAGGTGAACTCCTAGAGCTCATGCATTTTTTCAATATTTTTATTTTCAGCCTTAAGCATGTCTTAGGTAAAGCTTTTCTACTCTACCATGAGAGACTGTAAGGGAGGCTCCTGACCTCCGTGGATTTAACATTCACACTTTTCAATATACACGAATAATCATCAAGACCTACGACCTGTAACAAACTGAGTCTGTAAATAAACTGAGTCAAAAAACAGACTCACGTGTGTTATGTGGCTCATGAAAGAAAACACAGGCAGTGGACGAATCTAATCGGTTGTGGGTGTCTGAATAACAGAAATGTTAGCTTTGAAGGGTAGCAGATAACCCCCCAAAACCAACTGGCTACACCAGTAAGGAAGTTAATGGTAAAGTAATAAATCCAGCAGGAAGTCCATGATGTTCTTTAACCAGAAATGGGAGCCAGGCTTCCCTCCACTCGGTAGAGGAAATCACATGGTCCTGGTGATACACTCACATCTGGGATTCCTAAAAACTTGACACGTCCCTTGCAAATGACGAGGGTCTATCAGACTTTTATTTGTCCTAAAATTGCCATACGTTTCATTTAGCAGAATCATTCCCACATGATCACCAGTTTTTGCCTTTTTGTGACAGTTAAAATCAGATTAAACTGAATATCAAGGAAAACACTGACAGGAACAAATTCCACAAAAACACAAAGAGAATCTAAGGAATGGAGGAGTCGTCTCTCCATGACAGCTGGGGATGTGGGAAGTTTCAAGGATTATGAATGGGGCAAATTAAAAAAAAAAAATACACACACACAAATGCTTCAGGCCTAATTATTCATTTCTTCATCTTAAAAATTACTGAGCACCTTCTGTATGCCAGGCACTGTCCCAGGAGATCCAGCTCTGAACACACCTGACACAGTTCCTCGTGGAGAAACGTCACAGTTGGGAGTGGGTGGGGACAGGGGTCAGGAAGTTAATGGAAAATAACATGAGGTGGCAGTAAGAGCTATGAAGAAAAATAAAGACAAGATGGAGTGGCGGGGGATGACATTTTGGCTGAGTGGTCTGAGAAGCGTCCTCTGGGAGGTGCCATGGGAGTTGGGACGGCAGGGGGGAGGGAGCCGGCCACGTGGGCATCTGTGGGTGGGAGGAGAGGTACCCCCAGATCAAGGCCCTGAGGTCACCAGGCGCATGCAGGCTTCGGGGACACGTCCAAGTGAGACGGGCACGTGAGGATTCTGAGCACAGGCGAGTGGCACGACTTATGTTCCAGCTACAAAGTAGAAAGTGTTTGTTTGTGGAGCGGGCACAGGAACAGGGCGGGCCCGCGGGCCCTGCGCTGGACGGCGCCGGCAGGGCAGCGGGGCAGGTGTGCAGGCTGAGCAGCAGCCGCGGCGGGGGGACGACGCCGTCAGACACTGAAAGGGAAGCTGACACGACTGCTGAGGGACCGCAGGTGGGGTCTTGAGAGAGACAGAGACGCCCAGAATGACACTGTGGCTCTTACCCTTATCCACCCAGCGACCACACAGAGCATTCACCAAGGAGAAGCCTGAGGAGGAGCAAGATGAGGGGCGGCGAGGCATCAAGACGGACGTGACACACGTGAGGCCTCAGGCGCCTGTCAGTCATCAGAGCAGGGGCGGCTGCTCAGCAGGCCGACGCCCGGCTCTGGGGGACGTGTTCATAGTGCAGTCGATGCGTATAAACAGTAACCAGAACTGCAGATACATGTTTGTGTGTGCATGTGTGTTGTCTGCGTATATAGACGCATATATGTGTGTATACACACACACACACACACACAAAGAAACTTCAGGAAGGAAAACATGGGGCAGAAAGGAGAAGAGACATTTGCACGTTGTAATGTATCTACTCTGGCACTATTTGAACATTTTGCGATAAGAATGTATTACTTTAGTAATAAAAAGGGCATTTCTTTTGTTTCCCCCAATAAAATAACCAACTGATGAAAAAAATTAAACTGAGAGAAGTACAGAGTTAAGAAAAGACTGCTGTGAAAACAACACTCAGGGACAACCATCACTAACTTTTGGATTATTTCCTCCCAGTTTTTTTCCTAGATGTTTCGCAGTATCTACACACAATGCAGTTTGTTTTTTCAGTACAGCTCATTTTTGTCTGTCCATGTTAACACACACGGGATGCCACTGGACTCAGAGGTGGCAGCAACAGAATTCGACCGCATTTTGTTTTGTTCTGTTTGAATGGAAGTCTTCCTGCTCTTAGGGTGGGCTCCCCTCAGGCCCCGACCCCCTCATCTAGGACGCTGCCATCTGTGGACACTGGCACTTTCCGGCCCTGCTCCTCAGGGCTTTGTAGCTGGGGTCTCCCTCATAAAAGCATAAGCATGTTTCCATTGCATAAGGAGTTGTTTGTAAACCCAGTTTTCACACGGCATCTTTACGTCTCACTGTCTGTGCACGTTCCTAATGCAGCTCAAACCTCTCCTAAAGCCTGTTTCAGCGTCACCTGAAGGAGTCACTGTCTAGTCACCAAAAGAAGCAAGACTCTGACTAAACAGTTTCCCTTCAGCTCACTCAAGGATATCTACCATGGGCCCCCGTGTGCGTGCGTGCATGTGGGGGCAGCGGGGGATGAGAAAGACAAAATTTTTAAAGATAATTTCAGACAGCAAAAAGCACTGTGACTAAATTCACAACACAAGAGAAGGTAACTGGGAGGCAGGGGAGAAGGAGGAGGATGCTCTGTAGCTGGGTAGCCAGAGAAACCTCCTGGGGAAGTGACAGGAGCAAAGCCCAGTGAAGAGAAGGAGGCAAATATCCAGAGAGGAGCCTCGGTAGGAAGAGGGTGCAAATCACGGGTGGCCCTGATAGCCACCAGAAAGAATCTGCATCTTTATTCTAACTGTAATAAGAACCTACTGGAAAGTTATAAAGAGGGACACGACGGGATCTGATGCAGGCTGAGCGATCAGTGTGCCAGCTTGGGAGAGACTGGACTGTAGGAGCAGACACCAGTCAGGAGGCTGCAGTGTACCCAGCCAGGGGACAATGAGGCTTGACCCAGCATTTCCGTGACTGCAGTGGTGAACAGTGTCCAGATGGGGACATATCTGGAGGACTTGCTGATGGAGGCGGGATTCTGGGATGGGTGAGCAGGACCAGCTCTCACCTCCACACCGTGAGTGGCTTTTAGGCTCCCCATGGACCTTCCCAGTACTCCCCTCGTGGGGCTGTATAGAGGGTGCAGCAGCAATTACATGCAGGATCAATAATGAAATGTAAAATGTACCGTACCAACTCACTTACCCAGATTGGGATCAGTAGCCTGGCGTTTCTTAATTTTAGCTTCAGAAATAGCAGAATAATAGGCACAAGTCATCTTGATCAGCCACGTTGCTCGAACCATTGGCACTGAATATTTAGCTAAATATGCAAAAACATCTTCTTTTTTACTAAGGATGGGAACCTAAAAAGAAGTAACATATTTAGAATAGTCACATATTACGTTCATTGCTAGGCAAACCTAAAGAAAGGGGAAGCAAGAGAAAGAGACTTAAGTTCCTGCTGGCTATAAGCAAGTGTATCCTTGGTGGATTTTCAAACAGTACATGCAGTTAAAACAAGAAAAGAAAAGAAAAAAGAAACATTTTAAGCAAATTTTCATTAAGAAAAAAAGAATCAAAACTATGTTCAGCACATTGGCAACATAATTTCATCAGTTGTGCTTTATTTACAAAAGCAAATTATATTCAGTTTTTCAGATGCTGAAAGCTACTCAGGGTATCAACAAAATATGGGAAATAATTTCATGACAGTCCTCCCAGGAGTTCATGTCAAAACTGGAAGGAACAGATCAAGTGAAAAACTGGCCCCCCTCTACATTTCATCAAAGAACACTTTTTGTATAAAAGCTTTCCAACTGTGACCTTCCATAAGATTAACAATTTCCAGAAATCTTCTAAAAGTGCCTTTAGCCCAAAATTTAAGAGAGAGGCTAAAATGACGGATCGGTGAATCTGCCTAATAAACACTGAGCTAGAAATAGCTGGGTAATTAATTCACTGGTTGCCAGTCAGCACTCGAGGCAGTTAATTATTTCTTCCAGACCACAAAGGTACTACCGAGCAAATTAGCATCCCAGCGTACCACTGAATGGTTTGAAAGAGTTAATCCACTCTTCGAATTCCTCGTAAATATCCTGGGAATAGCCCACTCATCTATATATAATCTATTCAAGTACGAACGTAGAGCAAAACAGTGGACACCGAGTCCGCTGGCTGTGATGCAGCAGGGCAGGAACAGAGAGACGACGGGCGGGCGCACCCCCCCAGCAGATGAGACCTCCGTGCTTCAGCCCCGGCCCAGCCTGTTTGGGTAAACCCATCACCCCAGGCTCTTCCTTTAGGAATGTGATAGTACCAACCCTGTCTACCTCACAGGGTGGTTAGAAGGGTAAAGCAGAAGAAGTACATATAGCAAAATTATAACAACTTTTATTTTGTTGCCAGTTCCAAAGACATCTCCATGCCAGCCAAAGTGTTTCCACGCCATGAGTGACCTTCTCCTAAGACGACCCTGGACACCACAGCCACGGACATCTACGGCCCTGGTCTCTCCGCCCCACACCCCTGCTCGGTTTTGCGTCTGTAATCAAGGCTTCAAACCAGCTAACTGATTCCTATAGCACGGCATTGCTCTCTTAGCGAGCCAAATCCTTGTTCAGAGGTGGATTTTTTGCATCACACATATGTTTGACTATTTGACTATTCACACACTGGGTACAAGTGTGATCCTAGAAGTAAAAGATAAGCATTTTTTGTACATGGCCCTTTAAAACGAGTGATTTCACCTGGTCCTTACCAAAGCAACATCAAGCAGCTCCACTGCTGAAGGAGAAGCGGCCGGGTTGTACAGTGAGATGCAGTGCGTCCATACGCTGTATTTTATGGGCAACGTAACAGACTTTTGATCATGTGCAGTTCCTGCCCTGGGTGCTGACCTTACAACACGACCCCCACGACAGAGGCAACCACCCTGCACAGACATAAACCCAAAGGGACACAAGAGTCACGCAGGCCACGCTGTATGGCTCCCTCTCTGCAGACCACAGTGACGTGCCTTACGAAAATTTCCTGAAAACCGCGCTCACAACGCGCACCTCTCACGGAGCACAAGGCTCTGGGTTCACTGACTGCCCTTTAACCCAGGGACAAGACAAGCATAGGCTCAAATATTCAGTTCAGGGCCTGAGCTGCTGCTTTTCACTGAAACAGGTTGTGTGATATCGTGGAGGTAACTCTTGGCTGTCGAGGTCAGACAGACCACAAGATTGTAAGATCAAGGCCCAAAAAACAGGCAAATGCAACAAGTAAAGTCAGCCTCTCCAAAGAAACATGACTCACAGGATCTGTTAGAGATGCCTAAAGGATTTGTTCCAAACAGCAGTTGATAGGAGGGAAAAGAAACATTTTGAACACGTGAAATGTTTAGATGGACTAGCAAACAAAACCGAGCCATGGGTCCCACATTAACAGCACACTCCAGCTCACTGCCCCTCTGGGAAGAACCTAAGAGAAATGCTTGGCTCAAATCAAGGACTTCAGAATTCAGAACGTATGTAAAGAAAGTTATTTGATTAAGGAAGAAGGCACGTATTGATGGTTTTGTCAAATGTACAGTTTGGGCTAACTCAGGAAGGAAAATATGTTTACACTGACTGCAATGTGACTTCCTTACAGTGATGGCTTCCATTTTCAGCAAAGAAACCATCTGACTTTAACTTGTAGCTGAAGCTAGGCAATCACTAGGAGCTGTTTGGTTTCTAAATCAAGCTAGGGCTGCATCTAAGTACCAAAAGAAAACTAAGACACCAAAGCATGTGATGGTTTTCCATGCACAAAAGGGCTGCCCTGCATCGCCCTCCCTTTGGATGCACGTCGCCATCAGCATCCTCTGCTCACTACGCAGTGGAGGGGCAAAAGGAAATCCCATAACCACAGCAGTCAAAGTCATCTGAAGTGACCATGGCACACTAGCAAACTGATCAAGAGCTGGAAGGCTACCCCTAGGGGCCAGAAGTCTCCTTTTCCAACTCCAGCCATGACCCTGATGGAGTTAAAAGGCCCTTTACAGTCCATTGTTGACCTCTCTGTGGCTAAATACTTGGAGCGCCATGGGGCTTTATAGTAACAGAAAACCAGGTCCAGAAACCTGATCCATCCCATACAGGAAACTATTTTGAACTCTAGATCAGAGCTGGAAGATGACTCAGGATCTTAGCAGGAAAATGAAAGTCTTCTGCAGTAAGCCATCTCACAAATAAACACCAGAAATTAAAGAAGAAGCATTTGAACTTTCTAGTAGGAAGAACATGCAGAGAACGCAATCTTTTACCCAGCTCTGAACGAGCTTTCACCATCTCAAGATGATACACCGAGGATGAGAGGTGGGGGATGGACTCTTGAAATGACCAAGAAATGAATACTTCCAGGTATAGTCAATGGTTTTATAAAGAAAACATCTTTAACTTTGCAAAGAATTAATGTCAGGGCTTACCTGAGGAACACCTGATTTGGCCAGAGGCAGCTCCTAATAAAGAGAGAAGAACAATGGCTAATACACTGCACCTCCTAAATATAATAAAATATAATTCACCTCCCACCTAAAAGATCAGAGACTACTACTCCTCTAAAGCAAGGACATCAATCCCTTACCAGTATTCACCTTTAGGAAATATCCAAAAAACGTACTCTGAAAGCTTATAAAAAAGGAAAACCTAAAAAGAAAGATGTCGGGCTGACTACAAGGGAGTTGAAGGTACCAACCAACGTGGAGGGTATGAACTGCTGGTAGAAAGCCATCGAATATCAAAAGATGCCCTTTGACTTATACAGCCTTCAGATGTGATCCATAGGCCATAGTGGGCCACATGGTGAACGTTCGCCACTGGAAAAGAGATGCTACACGGTTCAGCCTGTGTGCGACAGAGGCACCACCTGGAAGCAAGAGGTGGTTGTGCTGGCTGTCACGTTCTTCCTAGATGTCAGTTGCTTTAACCACCGAAGTCGGTGAAAGGCAACATAATGCTATGACACTAAGGCAAAATAAAGCCCTGGGAGCTACAGGCACTATTTTCAAAGAGTTGCTTTAAAAAACGAACAAGCAAACACACAAAGGAGCTCTCCTCTAAACTGGGCCTGTACCAAGTTGGTTAATGAAAACTTGTATCAGGAACAGAAGATGGGCACCCCTAAAACTAGAAGGTTTCAGGGGAAATGAGAAAGACCTCGGGGATTATTTGAAAGGTGAGCAAGAAGCCAGAGATCAAGACTAAGAGGGAGGTTTCTAGCTCTCCTCCAAATTTCAAGACATTTTATATTACTTGGACTATAAGAGTGTTGAATCTGTGTGTTTTTCCCCACTTGAGGAAAATGATCAAAGGCAAAGATTTTTTAAACCTTCCCCCACCCCCCCGAAAAGATGAGAGCTATGAATAAACCTGCCCATTTTGTTCTAAAACTTTTTCAAAGAAGGTTTCCAAGCACACACAGAATCACTGTCTCTATTTCACTTGTTAGGAAGGAGACTCAGCTTAAAGCATTTGGAAGGTTACTTTTCAAGACAAAGAAATAACATCAACAAGGATTTCTATATAACACATTTTGGACATCCCGGCCTAAGAAAACTAAAAATGTAATAGAAATAAATGAAGTCTTCTTGCCTGTTTTTGATTTAAAAACCCTGTCTACCTGAAGTCCACATACACTGCTTCCCGTGTGGAAGGTTTAGGACCACAGGCCATCACAAAGGGGAGCACAGCACACGAGCAGTGCACACCTGGGGCAGCGTCCCTAACACGGAGGCGTGCGTTTTGGAAAGAACTGAGGAAAAGAAACATATACTCGAACACTATCTCAAACATGTTCATTTCTATAAGACCATAATTAAAACAATGTAAGAAATACTTAATACCTTTTTTGCCAAAATTGCAAGTGGTTTATTTCCTGCTAAGTCAGAGAACCAGCTATGGATTGCACTCTGGGATCGCGCAGTAACCAGCCAATAATTATCTTTCGCATTAACTTGTGGTTTTTTCTTCCCAGTGTCCTGGAAAGTGTTGAGCTTTAGTTTCTCAGCTAAAATGCTGCTAAAATAAGCTCCAATCTGTGGAAATAAGCAAAAAAAAGAAAAAGTTTAAAGACAATAAGCAGGTGTGTCCATAATGTATATTATTATTTTGTTTTAATTGAAAATCTTCAAACAGCCCATCAGAAAATAAAATGACAATTCAAGTCCTTGAAGCCAGGAGTTGTGATTTCCTATAGTAACATCATGCAAAAACTCCCACAGCACCTTTGTTCCACGATTAACAAGTAGTTCAAGAAAAAAAGAAGAGACTTTGAAAAACCTCTGACATTAATTACACTCTGAATAAATTTCAAGAGAATGGGTGCTGCTTTCCTCTTCAACTGTACTTCTCCTTGTTCACACTACACACCCATTTGGAGAGAATATTTTTCCTGAGAGGTGTTGTGTACAAGAGCAGAAAACCTAGTAATCACACAGTAATCATTCTTGTTCTCATTTCATCTTAATAGCACATATTTTTGGAAAGGAAACTCTGTATTTACACTCAGTGATTTTAAAAAAGAGTCTAGAGAAATTTAATCATTTAAATGGCAAATTACAAAAGGTTCAGTTAAATTAAGTAGTCAGCATTTCTGATTGGGCTGCCAATTTCACGAGTACAAGTGTTTCAGGAGAAAGCCCCTCTTACCTGCTCTGAACGGAGCCAGGTGGCTAAGGGAGCGTCTGTGAATTACTGCAGCGTTTTCACATCAAACAAACAGAAAGGGACAAGAAGGAAGGGGATAAAGTAACATCTAAAAATTAAACGAATCGACAGAAAACCTGCTGGAATTTCCAAGAATCCTATCAAAGCATCACGTTTCATCCCCTGGGAATTCTTTAATAGTATGATGCAAGCAACAATTTCTAATAAATACCTCCAATAAGGTTAGCAGACAGTGGCAACAATGATTAAAATAAACTACCGACCCTGGTGAAGCATAATAAGAATCCCTCCCTTAGTTACTGCTCATGAGTCACTAAACAACTAGTTCATAGGCTGGGACACAGTGTAAGAAATTAGCCAAGTTTATCTACTAGAGTGAAAAGCTGACACAACTTATTCTTAATGTGAATTGGCATTCTTTGATCCTTGTGATCAATGTACAATAAAGTCTGTCTTGGTCTGTTGACATAATATGGTAATAAAAACTAGAGTAATTAGAAAAAAAGAAGTCTGAGCTTTACTTTTTTTTTTAAACAAACAACTTCATAATGTGTTTTTGTAAGCAAACGTTTGCAGAATGTCCAAACAGAATAAATTAAATGCAAAAACCAGTTGTTTGAAAACAAGCAGCCAATAGTAGCAAATCGTTTAATTTTAAATCTCTCAATCAATATCTGGTCTTTGCACCAACGGCACAAAACACCTACCTATGTAGATTGTTTCACATTTAAAATGTCTCTTATTTGCAATTATGTATGAGTGTTTTAATCATAATAAACAAAGGTATACAAATTTTTTTTAAAAACTAGTCTGAACAATCTGTTTTACAATTATACTCTCTTCTATGTATTTAATGAGAGCAACAGAACATGGTGAGTGCATGTATGTTTTCCTTCCTAAGAAACCTTGTGAACAACTGTCTACTGTAAACAACGTCAAAATTCTTGAAAAGGTGAGAGAGAAGAAAATGCACATTAGGACTCAAAAAATAAATAAATAAATAAAAGTATGATCATTAATTTCACGGTAACAGCAACATATTCACGTTATTCTGAAATCAGGAAAGAGCCTCCTTCTCAAGCCCCAGTGTCCTCCAGGTTCCCACTGTGATCAGGTTGTGTCTCCAGTGTTCTTTATGAGCACACACGTGGACAAGCATGAACATATTATTTTTCTCTTTCTTATGTGTAAACCTCCTTAGGTACATCTGGCGAATGTCTGAAACTGTCCATATCTGTACACAGAGAGCTTCTTCATTCATTTTACAGACACGTAACAATATACTGTGAGGATGTACCACATTTTATTTAATCACGCCCCTGTTCATGGACATTTGCAGTATGTGTTCCAACCTTTTGCTATTACACATCACGTTAAAATGGATAGGTTTTCCTATTTGTTATTTCATATATGTAAACTAGAGCTTTCAGGCAAATTTCCAGAAATCAGATTGCATGATTCTGTACATTTAACCAGCATCACTAAATTGCCCTACATAAAGTTTATACCAGTTTGCACTCCCTCAGACAAGGTATGAGAGACAAGGTTTAATTTAAAATTTGTTTCCATCCATCCAAAGCTATTTTGAAAATAATTCATTTGATAAGAAAATGGGAAAAAGTTTAGAGGCTACACTACATTTCATATAATTCATATTTATAAGATCAAATTCCCCTCAGAAGGTTTGAATCCCTGAGTAAATCTCACAGGAAGGATGATAGCAGCAGAAGTTGTAATGGGTAGTATTTCCATTTATTCAGTTATTTAAATTGACATAAAACTTGATCCAACTGAGAACAATTTGGCAGTTCCTATCAAGAGACATAAAGACACACTGTCTGTTATGGACTGAACTGTGCATCCCCAAGTGCAGATGAAGCGCTGAGTGCCTATGGAGATAGGGCCTGTAAAGAGGTGATTAAGGTTAAATAAGATCGTGAGGGTGGGGCCCTACACCAATAGGACTGGTGTCACTATGAGAAGGAGAAACTCCACAGACATGTGCACACAGAGAAAAGACCAGACCATGTGAGGACACAGCGAGAGGGCGGCCACGTGCACCCCGAGGAGAGAGGCCCCCGGAGAAACCAGACCTGCTGACGCCTTGATCTTGGACTTCCAGCCTCCAGAACTGTGAGAAAATAAATTTTCTCAGAAAATCAAATTTCTGTTGGTTAAGCTACCCAGCCTGTGGTATTTTGTCATGGCAGCTCTAGCAGACTAATGCACCTACCTTCTAACCAAGTAATACGCTTCTGGGAATTTATCCTCAAGAACAAAAGCTATATGTTCAAATCTTACCACAACCTCTTTGTAAATAACCGTAGAGACTAGCAACTAGCTAATTACTATATACCAGCAGTTTCAGCCCTTTATAGCACATAAATGATGGACCGTTATCTATCCATCAATTATTATTAATATGAATACTTTAGCCTCAAGAAAAAGTACATACAAAAAAATGCTACGTTTTTTAAAGTACATAAGTTAAGGGAAACAAAAAGTTTTAGAGATGAATGGTTGTGATAGTTGTACAACGTTAATGTACTTAATGCCAAAGAACTGTACAGTAAAAAGTGTTAAAATGGTAAGTTTTACGTTATGTATATTTTTACCACAATAAAAAAAAAAGTAGAGGAGCCGGCCCGGTGGCACAAGCAGTTAAGTGCACATGCTCCGCTGCAGCAGCCCGGGGTTCGCCGGTTCGGATCCCGGGCGCACACCGACACACCGCTTGGCAAGCCATGCTGTGGCAGCGTCCCATATAAAGTGGAGGAAGATGGGCACGGATGTTAGCCCAGGGCCAGTCTTCCTCAGCAAAAAGAGGAGGATTGGCAGATGTTAGCACAGGGCTGATCTTCCTCACCAAAAAAAAAAAAAAAAAGTAGAACACAAATCACAACATATTCATAATTGTGGTTGTAATGTTAAAAAGTACATCAAGATTGGAAAAAGACAAAACTAAAAACATTGTGTTTGGTTGATAGACCTATCTGTAGAAAATGCTTCTATGTCTTTCACATCATTTAATATGTCAGTTGACAGTTTAGCAAATTGTCAACTACATATGTGTTTGCATGAACATGTGCACACATAAAAAGAGATCTGGAATGATACACAAGCCTTTAACAGTGGTTATCTCTGGGGAAGAGGAAAGAAGTATAGAAATTCATCTGTATGTTTGATTTCTCTTTATTTATATGTCTGATGTTTTCAATTTAATAAAAGTATTTTAATATTCAAAAAATAGAAATAACTCAAAAATGATGAAAAATCAAACCTTAAAAGAATAAAAAAAGAAAGCAAATAATTCAATCTATATATCTAATCGTTAACATAAACACACAGAAAAAAGATTTAATTCAAGAAATTTTTTAATACAACATTCTGACTATATAACTTTTTTTTTTAAAGTCTCTCATTTTTTTTTTGTTTGTGAGGAAGATCAGCCCTGAGCTAACATCCACGCTAATCCTCCTCTTTTTGCTGAGGAAGACCAGCTCTGAGCTAACATCTATTGCCAATCTTCCTCCTTTTTTTTTCCCCCAAAGCCCCAGTAGATAGTTGTATGTCATAGTTGCACGTCCTTCTAGTTGCTGTATGTGGGACACGGCCTCAGCATGGCCGGAGAAGCGGTGCATTGGTGCGCGCCCAGGATCCGAACCCGGGCCACCAGCAGCGGAGCACGTGCACTTAACCACTAAGCCACGGGGCCGGCCCCTGACTATATAACTCTTAATGAAAGTTAGTCTAAGGACAAAAAGTATTGTAGAAAATTTGTAAATTGTACATGGTAACTTTGTTGTTGGAGTGACATTGGTATAGTTTGTTCTCAGAACTTTTTTTTTTTTTTTTGTGAGGAAGATCAGCCCTGAGCTAACATCTGTCATCAATCCTCCTCTTTTTACTGAGGAAGACTGGCTCTGGGCTAACATTTGTGCCCATCTTCCTCCACTTTATATGGAACGCCGCCACAGCAGGCTTGACAAGCGGTGTGTTGGTGCGCGCCCAGGATCCAAACCAGGGCCTCCGCAGCGGAGCACAAGCACTTAACCACTACGCCACCGGGCCCGCCCCTGTTCTGGAACTTTTCTATGTGTACTGTAATACCGAGTAAATGAGTGAACATGTTGCCATTGCTGGGATCCAGGGTTCTCACTTTGGGAGAAAGGTGATGCAAAGATAGAACAGAAAAAAGAAAGAAAAAACCCTGTTGTATTGAATTAGAGTTGGTGGATGGATGGATGGAAAGAAGGAAAAGAAAATTCTAAATAGGTTTTCCATCTCTGTCCCCTGACAGGGCCTAGAAGGCATGACATTCTAGTAGCCTAAGCATGCCAAGCATCCAGATCTGGCTGGGGCAGGGAACAAACAAGATGAAGCTGGGATACGTTCCTGTGTCAGGGTGAGGAAGCGCTCAAAGAGCAGTGGACGTGGCAAAAGGACCCGAGAGCCAGGTCCAAGGTGCCCCACTGGCCAAATGCAAGACACGTGGAACAAGACGACGAAAAACGAAGACAACACATCAGATGGCAAGGAGTCCAGGAGTTCAAAGCAACAATGAAAAAATGGGGGGCCTTTACAAAAGAATGCCAACTAATAAATGTATGAGGAATAATAACTAGAAAACCAGCCTTTTGTAACCAGCAGCAAGAAAAATCATTCAGCAGGAATCATCCATTGATGCCAGAATCCTGAGACAAAATTTTACTGGAGAATAGGATATTCATATGGTCCCAAATGTCACCCTGTAGAGATTACCACGGGGAAAAGATCACCACTGTTACAACGTAAAGGGATGGCAGACACCATCTTATGTGATCAAACAGTTTAACCAATGACAGAGCAAACTGGCACTGCACATCTTCTAACAGGATGCAATGCAGCCTTCTTGCCAAAACATTTAACCTGAATGCTGTCATGAGAAAACAATCAGACAAATCTAGAACATAGGACTAGAATCTAAGACAAATAACTGGATTGGACCCTTCTAAAAATAGCAGTCCTGGGGGCCGGCCTGGTGACACAGTGGTTAAGTGCGTGAGCTCTGCTTTGGCAGCCCAGGGTTTGCAGGTTGGGATCCCGGGCGCGCACCGATGCACCGCTTGTCAAGCCATGCTGTGGTAGCGTCCCACGTAAAGTGGAGGAAGATGGGCACAGATGTTAGCCCAGGGCCAGTCTTGCTCAGCAAAAAGAAAGAAGATTGGCAGATGTTAGCTCAGGGCTAGTCTTCCTTACAAAAAATAAAATAAAATAGCAGTCCTGAAAGCCCAAAAAACCTACAACAAAATGAGGGACAGTGGAGCAGGACTGTACTGGATTAAAACAGACCAACAGACATGGCATGATTGGATCCTGGGGCAGGACAGCATACAGGATATTTGGGGGAATTTTGAACAGGGACTGCAGTTTAAATAACACTAATTTGCCAACATTAACTATCAAGGGTGTGACATACACAAACTTGTTCAGAAGTTTTAGGAAACAGACAATTAGCATTACCTTTGATGGGTTAATTACAATATTTCTGGCTGAGCCGTGTTCATCTCCAGTAAAGGCTGGCTGATTGTTGAACCCTTGCTTTACATTCACAGCAGTAAGTTCATCCTGTTCAAGAAAAGTATTGATTAATCAGAAGGATGTAAAGGCCCCAACTTAACCCAGCATACCGCAGCCTGAGTAATGACTAACTTTGCTACACTCTGTAAAAGAGAACTGTTGAACACACACCAAAGAAAGCAGAGACTGGAGTTTAAAAAGCAATATATAGGGGCCAGCCCAATTGCACAGTGGTTAGGTTCATGTGCTCCGCTTCAGCAGCCCAGAGTTCGTGAGTTCAGATCCTGGGAGCAGACATACACACTGCTCATCAACCCATGCTGTGGCGGCATTCCACATACAAAATAGAAGAAGATGGGCACAGATGATAGCTCAGGGACAATCTTCCTCAAGCAAAAAAAAAAGGAAGATTGGCAACACATGTTATCTTAGGGCCAATCTTCCTCACCAAAAAAAAAAAAAAGCTACATTTAAATGTGTAGAAAAAGAGAAAGCAAATGTAGCAAGATGTTAACAACTGTTGCCTCTAGGTGTAGGGTATACGGCTGTTCATTATACTATTTTTTTAACTTTTCTGTAAGTCTGAAAATTGTTAACTAATAACTTGGGAAAAGAAAAAATGAGCAAAAGTTCCCCATCTTCCCCAGAAACATAAACTTACAGAATTTTTAAAGTAGAATTGTTTCTAGATGGCCCATAGTTGGACTCTCCCTTCTCCGCCAGACCCTGTGCGCATCCCTATTTTATGTTCAAGAAAACCAGGTCAGGGGCCAGCCCGGTGGCGCAGTGGTTAAGTGCGCGCACTCCACTTCAGCGGCCCGGGGTTCACATATTCGGATCCTGGGCGCACACCGATGCACCGCTTGTCAAGCCATGCTGTGGCAGAGTCCCATATAAAGTAGAGGAAGACTGGCATGGATGTTAGCCCAGGGCCAATCTTCCTCAGCAAAAATAGGAGGATTGGCATCGGATATTAGCTCAGGGCTGATCTTCCTCACCAAAAAAAAAGAAAACCAGCTCACTCACCTTACCCAAGACCCACAGCGAGTTAGACAGAATCAAGGCACAGATCCTAGGCACACACAGCACCATCACCTCAACCAGAGTCAAGTGTAGAGCTCACTTCACCTTTACCAGTTCTGAGGGAGACGGAGGCATGTATCTTCACGCCCATTTACAGATGGGAAGAGTGAGGCTCACTGAGCTAGTGCAGTAACTGGACAAAGCCAGCCCTGAAATACCGTCCTCTCAATCCTAGACTAGGAAGAGATATTTCCATGACACTGTGCCACCAAAGTACAAATGCCATATGAAAATGTCTAAAAATACAAAGCCACAACTCATCCTCTCTTTAAAAAGATCTCCTCCTGGAGAGATACAGGACAACTTTCTTACCAAGGTCACACCACATCAAAAATAGCCCAAGGCTTTAAAAAAAGGAAAAAAGATCATGCCCTGCCCAGATCATTGAGTTACAGAACTAAATTGGAGTTCCCAAAATACAGACTTGAGAATACAAGGGAAAGGTCTGAGTAAATAAAGCGACCTTCTGCTCCCCTCACTCCAAGCCAAGACATGGTCTTAGTGACACTGGCATAACGGGAGCCACAGCACAAGAACTGATCATACACTGATTCTTCGTAAGGAAGTGCTGCAAGAACAAAATGAAAAAAATCAACTGATCGGAATCACCGCTTTGATCAGGCAGGAAGCCTTAGGACAAAGTAGTTCATAACACAGGAGCACATGAAGGTCACCCCAGCTGAGGACCCAGGCTTTCTGGAGACGTGCCTGTAGCTTTACGTAATCAAGTGCGTTCCACCCAATACCTGGGTGAGCCACTGTCTTGGCGGGCTTTCAAAAGACCGCGCTACAGGAACATGAGCTCTCTGGGAATCCAGTCCCCTCCAGGCACGGAAGGGCACTGGAAGGGCACTGAAGTCGTGACCTGCACAGACAAGGAGCTGCACACACACATCAGCAGACAGCTCAAGCTGCTCCCATATTTTCAAATTAATAATCTGAAAATCTAGGACAAAACTACAGAATGCATGTTCACGTCAGAAAGGTGTCAGTCAACTCAAATAAAGCGAGCATGCGAACCGAATTTCCGTAGTTTCGGAGTCTAAGAGAGAAGGGGGACAAACAAGATCATGAGGAGAATGGGACGATAACTCTGAATTTTTATCTTTGATTCACCATCAGAGTATTACAAGAAGCATTAATTGGGTAACAGCATATGTTTTTACTAAAAATACCTTCTGGCTTAATCAAGAGGAAATGTGTGAGGCTATCAGCACCAGCCAGCTCCATTTAGCGCCGCTTCACTTTCTGTTCTAAACTAACCCCGGCTCCCCGAGCAGCTTGTTGTATCTGACTGCTAACCACTGGGCCAGACAGACATGCCACACACACACACACATTCTCTCTCTCTCTCTCTCTCTCTCTCCGCCCCCCTCTCTCTCTCACAATCCCCAGGAGGAAAAGAACACGGAACCATGGTTAAATGTCTGTCAACCACATCAGATTTTCCTCAAACTAGGATCCACACAGGTACCTTTGGAAGCCTTGAGTTCTGAGAACTTTTTAATCTTGTATTCTAAGTTGCAGGAACACACATCCAGAATCCGACCACTTCTCACACCACCAGCGCCCTCTCGGAGTCAGGACCACCATCATCTCATGCTTGGACACTGCAACGGCTCCTATCTGGCCTCCTCCTTGCTCCTACCCTTGCCCGCTGAAGGCCATTTTCAATACAGCAGCCAGCACAGCGAGCTTTCTAAAACTGAGATGAGATCATGTCACTCCTGCTCAAAACCAGCATTAACTCCCCAACTCAGAGTCTAAGCAAAGGCCCCAGGATGTCCTGCAGGTCCATATATATATAATGGAATACCACTCAGCCACAAAAAAAGATGAAATCTTGCCATTTGTGGCAACATGGATGGACCTTGAGGGTATTGTGATAAGGGAAATAAGTCAGACAGAGAAAGACAATTACTGTATGACTTCACTCATATATGGAAGATAAACAAACACACACATAGACAAGGGGAACAGATCGGTGGTTACCAGAGGGGAAGGGGGTTGGGGGAAGGCGGAAGGGGTGAAGGGGCACACGTGTACCATGATGGACGGAAACCAGACTTTTGGTGGTGAACATGACGCAGTCTATGTAAAAATCGAAATATAAGGATGTACATCTGACATGTGTATAATGTTATAAGCCAAAGTAACATCAACAAAACAAAAAAAAAGCGACATAGCCCCTCCCCCAATCATGAGCTGTATCTTCAATTCCCAGGTGACGTGTGGGCTCCATGAACTTGGAGCAGCGCCCCCAGGAGTAACGGCCGTGTTGGTTCCTATACCCAGAATCACCACAACACAGTAACTACGAGACGCAGACATCAGGTGTGCTATGTTGCTGTATCAAATTATCAGAACAGCAGGACATCAATTTTCTGAAATTCATGAAAACTCTTGGTAAAGTTTCAAACTAATAAAATAAAATCTTCTCCAAATGTTAAAATGCAATGGTTATATTCCTCAGACACTCAGTGTATATTAAACATATATTAAGATCATGCAAAAAAAAATATTTTGAGATCATATGTAAACAGATTCCCACCTGAAACAAGAGAGGAAAAAACAGATTTTGAAGGTCCAGTGGCACATGGGACAGGCCAGTGGGATGCAGGACAATTCTTCATTGAGCCCAACTGCCCACACTGAGGACATCTAGCACCCCTAGCCTGGTCCACTACACCACAGTAGCACCCCAGTCATCACAACAACCAACGCCTGCCCCCCAGATTTCCACATCACCCCCACGGAGAGGGGCTGCTTCCACCTGATAGAGCCTGAATTGGAGGCTCCAGTTCAAGAAACGCTGGGCTTCACACCACGACGCGACAGTCAGAGCCTGCTCCTGCTGCACACCATGACAACGGGCTGCCCACCGCCAGCTCACTACAGGCCGTGCTACAGCTCCCAGCTCTGGCTACAGGCGGAGGCAACACGGACACCAGTGTAAGGAAGGGCCCCGGAAATGCGCACAAGAGGGGTGAAAGCCCGGGTAAGAGCCCGGGGCCTGCAATCAGACTGTCTGAGTGGGACTCTCCAGCTCCATTTCAGAGTGACTCTAAGCAAGCTCTGGAACTGTTCCTGTGCCTCAGTTTCCTCAAACGTAACACAGGGATAGTAATAGTTTCTACTACTTCTATCTCCATATCCCACTTGAGGAAATAAAGCCGAGAGGTTAATGAGCTTGCCCAAGGTCACAGAGTGGTAAAGCACTCCCAAGAATCCATGATCCTAACCATCACACTGTAGGAAAATGGCCAGCAATTAGCACTACTGCTGTTGTTTGTGTCACATTTCTGGTTTAGGAAAGTGATAACCTGAAGCTCCAGTGAGCACTCAAAACACAGAAAGTCCACTTCAGAGATTAAAAAGACCCTGGCCTGAAGCAGTGGTCCTTCAACTTTTGCACACGTCAGCATCCTCCCGCAGGGTCTGTTAAAGCACAGCTTTCTGGGCCCCACCCCCAGAGTCTCCAATCTGGCAGGTCTAGGGGGGTGGCTGAGAATCTGAACGTCCAACAACTTCCCTGATGCTGACCTAGGGACCACACTTGGAGAACCACTGACAGAAGATTTGGAGCTTGTGGCTTTCTAGGAAAACAAGGGCTTCCACACCCAGCATCAGTCCTGCACTCAGCACCTGGAGGAACGGGATGTCCCATCTCAGCTCAGCAGGAGGAGATCCCGAAAAGAAGTCTGGTCAGAGTTCTCCGCCACATCCCCTCCCCCACCACAAAGGCACACATACAGACAGACAGACAGACACGCACAGAGATCCAGGAAGGAAACAACTGCATCAAGCTTTCTCTCTCCCGTCTTTAACTCCTCACAGACCCGCAATGAATAAAACACCGGGGCCACGAGCGCTCCATCACATCCGGAAGCAACAGAGCCCAACAGAAGCTTGGAGGTCCCTTCTGTTTGAAGTTTACTGATACTAAACTTCAGGTCAGCTT